AATAATTTTGGTACCTGAACCATAATCAATAACAACACTACCTTTGCCTTTCACCTCAATATAATCTCCATTTCCAATTCTGACTTTGGAGATTTGCGATTTATCAAGTTTCCTAAATATAGATTCATCATAAACCATGTGATGAGTGCAACTACTGTCTATTACCCAAGTTTCAGTACTGAAATTATTGCTTGCAAAACAAGTGGCTACGAAAAGTTGCTCCTCATCTTGTTTATCAACCATCTGAGCATGATGTTCTCTTTTTCCTTTATTTTTGCAAACTCTCTCCATATGTCCCATTTGCTTACAAAACCTACATTGAACGTCAGGTCTAAACCAACAATATATTGAAAAATGTGAGGTTTCCTTACAGTGTGGACACGGAGGATTTCTGCCATTTTTCTTCTCATCTTTGCTAAATTTTTTTTGATCATTTCTCTCACCTTGTCGAATTTGATCCTCATTTGTTGCTTGAAAAGCACCTTCAATGACTTCTTCAGTTCTTATGGCTCGTCTTTGTTCTTGTGCCTCTAAAGCATTGATCAATTCTGACAAGGTCATCTGAGATAGATCCCTTGAATCTTCAAGAGAGGAAATCTTGGCTTCAAACCTTTCTGGTAAACTAATCAAGACTTTCTCCACAACTCTGCTATCTGGAAGTTGTTCTCCAATTAATCTGATTTTGTTCACAACAATTAAGAGTCTGTCAAAGTACTCTTTAATGTTTTCTTTGTCTTTCATCCTTAGGAGTTCAAATTCTCTCCTAAGGTTCAAAACTTGCATCTGTTTTGTTCTGTCATTGCCTTGAAAAGTCACTTTGAGAGTATCCCAAGCTTCTTTTGCAGTTTCACAAGTCATAATTTTTGTGAATACTGCATCGGAAACTGCTGAATGAATGCAAGTCATGGCTTTTGATCTCCTTTTGACTGCATCCCTATGGGCTCTCATCTCTGCAATAGTTGGATCTTCTGACAATTCAGGAACAGGATCTGTCTCTACTACATCCCAAAGATCATTAGCATCCAAATAGGACTTCATTTTGACAGCCCAGATTTGGTAGTTTTCACCAGTGAAATTTGGACGATTGGACAAGAAGTTGTTTCCTGGCATTTTGATGTTGAAGGCTTAAGTGTATAATTTTATAGTGAAACGGGTTTCTCACCAAGTTCACTCACTCTCAAAAACAAAACTCAGGCCCTTAAGATATAGGCTCTTGATACCACTTTGTTGATTTTTTGGGGCATGAACTAAGAAATAACACCTTAGTGTTGCAAAAAACCTTATAAGAGACTTGTGTTGAAGGTGAAAAATGAGCTTATTGTTCTATATTCATCAACTCATTATTTATAGTGATTACATGAAACAAACTAGCAAAATATCCAACTAACAATTATCCTAGAAATCTCAACAAAATATAATCTCCTTCTACTAGCAAATCTTATCTAAAATATCTGTTAACAAACCAACATGATCTTTTGTTAACAAATATCCTTATTTTTCTAATAACTAATTTTTGATATCAAACTTAATTTGATAAAATCTGTAGGAAAAACTGGCATATCTCAACAGCAGCACCGTGTGCGGAGAATGTGCACGGGAAAGTAGTTGGGAGGAGCGCAGCAAGACATCAGAAAAGTGATGCCGAACACCACATTTTTGTTAATATTATATGGCATTTTCTTATTTCAGATTTTCTGTAAAGGCCTAGGTGTACTGGAATTTATAGAGTATGTCTGTCTCTGAAGGTAGTGGTTCTAAATCAATTCTTGTAGGTTTTGGCCCACATGAAATTGAAAATGATTAAAAAATTATAATACAACAAAATTTTATTATTTTATAAGATTATGTGAAAGGTCAAAATATTTTTCATAGTATTTTAAAGTACATAAATACAAAAAAAAAATTTAATTATAAATATAATCATGTATTATACAAATATATTATGAGTAATTACTAACTAAGGTACGAAGTTTTAATTATTAATAAAACATTTTATTGTTATTTCAAATAAACTTCCTAGTATTGCTTTGGTATAAGTTTTTTTAAGCAAAATAGTACATTTGTGCCATAAATTAGTCAGTTTTGGTCATTAATCAAATTTATTATGTTATAAGTAAGAATTATTATTTATGTATAAAAACTTACTATTACTTGAACTAAATTTACTCTCTCAAAAGTATGTTTGGGATATAAAATAATAATTTATCTCTTTAAAAAGTAAGTTTAATATTTATTCTAATTTACCTTTTAAAACACACAAGTTTCTAATTATTATGATTAACATACTATTTAAATGAGAAACTTACTTCCTTACTTTTAGGCATTATCCTATTTAGGTCAATGGGTCGGGTTTTATCCAGATCCAACCCAGACCCAATATATTTGGGTAGGATTTGGATTTAATTTCTTAAATCCAGACTCTACCCAAATCCAGACCCTGTGAGAGAGTCGTGACTCTAGGTAGGGTTTGGATTTCTAGAATCTATATTCAAATTTAGATTCATACCAGACCTTATCCAAACACATATTTATTTAATTAAATAATATGTATTAGTAAATTTATAAAATAATATAATATTTTATGACTATTGGATCAAATACAGTAAGTTATGGCATTAGAATCTGCATTTAGTATTGGCGGTTGGGTGATTGATGAGAATCGTGCCTAATTGCTTTTAGATATGGTTGAAATATTAGTGATTACTGATGATTGGATTGAATAAAAAAAATGAGTAAGTGTTTATAAATTCTCTTATTCTGTTATTTATTTGCTATCGATTCTTAGTCAAATGACTTTTATCTCATTTACTATTTTAGTGCTGGATTGCGAGACAAATAAGAAAAAGAGGTATAAATTTACATTTTTTTTAATAAGACTAAATATTTATATATGTTATGGTTGTTTTCTTTTTTAAAAAACTAGTCCTAGTTATCATTATAATTGATACAAACTTTTTCGAGAAAAGGAGAAAAGGTAAAGGCAAACAAATAAAATATTGGATGTGAATGCAGTTGAATCTTTGAAAATATATAGAAGTAGTCTATAATAATTCTTTTTTTGAATTCACAATATTGCATTTAACTTGTTGAATGTTAATTTTATTATTTGAAAACAAAAATTGGATGGTATTTATATTATTTATGAACTCTATGTATTTTAAATACATTTTTACTTTAGTATGTTCAGAAAATACCCATAGATGCCCATTGGATACCCAAATCCATAAGGGTTTGGGTATGAACTTACTTTTTAAACCCAAAAGAGTATGGATCTGGGTTCGAGTATAACTAAATTAAATGGATCTGGATCTGGATCAAAGGGATCAAACTCAGATCTTACCCATTGACATGCCTGGGTAGATAGGTCTAACTGGTAATTAAATGGTCGCTAAAAATATAATAACCTGTTATATCAAGTAAAAACTATTTAGTTACCATAACGATATTTACTACAATATTTTCCTATACTTGCAGCAAATGGCAAATTTAGTCTGAGAAAATCAGCAATTTTGACCTATACTCGAACCAAATGGCAGTTCACAAGAAGAAAGCCGTGACACAGGTGCAAGGTAATGTAGTAGTGGAATCGTAAATGCATCAACATTTTATTTGTCACCTTTTCATAGTAAGGAGGAAATTCAATGCATCTATTAAAAAAGAAACATAGAATACAAATCAACTTGGTAAACGCTTCAAAAAAATTTTCAAATTTTAACAAAAGCAAGAGACCTTCACACAATGCACCTTCATGTGCTTCACCATGCAAGGTAGCACGCGTCACAACTATCTGATTAATGTATCAGCACGTGTTACCTTCATGTGCTTCACCCTGAAATCACTTGCTTATATCTGCAGATACCTCTAACTCATGAGTATGCTTTAATTATCCCTGATTGCAGGTTCCTGGCATCTATTCCGCTGAAAGTCATACTTAGACATGTTTACTGAGAAATAAATTAGTGTGCTGACAGATTGATGAAATTGGGTACTCAACAAAATATGAATTTTGTGTGTTATGACAGTGTCCCTCATGCTTTGAAGAATCCAGTAGATGCAGATATTAAAGGAATTTGCTTCCCTCGTTTGTACCTATAATTTAAGTTTTTTCAATATATAATCCCTTTTATTACCAAAAAAAATTATGCAAAAAAGTTAACTAATGTTGGCATAAAATTACACAAGGGACACATTTTCAAATCTCCTGTAAATTCCAAGGAGAAGAAAAAACAGAGCTTACCGTCAGAAAAGGAAAAGCACGGCCTTTCATTCACTGTTTTTCATTTTCTACCTAATTGGAGGAAAGGGGAGGGACTAGAAAAGAGTAAATACAGGCCTTCCATATGTATTTAAAAATTCAACAGGCACAGCAAAAGCAAATAACAAAGCAAGTACTAATTTGTTGTCTAATTGATGGAAGTATTATAAGTAATTGTTTGTGAAACTGTTAACTATTACAAGTTACTGTTTGTTAAAACTGCGGTGTGTTTGGTTGATGCAAGGGACTACAACATTGACCTTGTATACATTTTACCGAGCAAACCAACATTTGTTACAACAATTTGCACTAGAAGTATCACTCCCACTAAAAACTCCAAATTGGACATTCTCTCTCTTATTTTTTTGTGTTTCCTTGTTTGTGTTTGTGTTTTCTGTTTCAGTGATAAGTTGCTTATTGATGTACACTAATCCTATGACAGTGCAGATTAATTTTTAACAACGTCTTCTTTTTTTTTTGTTAACTAAAGAACCTGTAACCGCTATCCGAGAATGCGTATCGGATAAACCACTTTAAAAACGTCTTTACCTAGTGATTGGGAGAGTAACACGAAAAGATTTTCCTTCCATCACCAAAAAAAAGAAAAGAAAAGAAAAGAGTAATAGTAGGATCACACACACGTTAAAAGCTACATACACATACAAAAATTCACAGTGTACTTGATATTGAGTATTTATAAGACAGGGATTACACTCCTCTGCATTACCTCTTCCCTCCAATTTCTCCTAGGGAGGGATGAGTATACCTAAAATTCAAGAACAAAGAAAGAGAATGACCAAGTAATTTTTTTTTTTTTTAAGACGACAACTATTGTATAACCTATCTATTCTAAACTACAGGGACGGAGAGCCTAAAGAGGCTGTGTTTGGGGCTAGCAGACACACAGACCTTACTAAATCAAGAGAGCGTTTTGGCATAACTCCCGAGGATTGGAACCTTCACATACAACCCAAGGAAGGACTTAAAATCCTCTCTGGTTTAACTTTATAGTTTACAACGCCTCTAACTTTATAGTTTTCGTAAGCATTTCTAAATGTAAAATTTATGGTGCGCTCCAAATATTTATTTCGGGAATACGGATGAACAAGTTGCATGAAGAAAATGGCAAAAAGAATAAGCCATTTGTTTTCCAGAGCTAAGAAGCCTTAAGCTGGAACTTGGGTGGGAGGAAGCAGCCACTTAGAAGCCTCGATGAATCCAAGAGTCAGAAAGGGTTTAACTTCTGCTTCAGTAAGCTTCTTGGTGAATGCAGCCCGGCTACTGCTTGTGTCTGAACCTGGTCCGGTGGAACTGAATTCTCCGAACAATACCGTCCTGCAATACACCATTGCCACCATTAGACAAATACCCAAGAAAACTAAAACAAGAAAAGGAATAACTTTTCAGTAACTCTCAGCCAATACACACACACACACACACACACAAAAGAAGCTGTCTTGATAAATCTTGAAAACCGAGTTCGCTGGCGTGTAGATTAAATATGAATACAACTTACTTCTCAGTCTCCGGATGGAAGTTATTAGACCAGCCTGCGGGGATTACCGCGTCGCTCATATCGGTGTAGGCAAACACGACCTTGCCATAAGGCATCCAAGTTCTGCCCAAGTAAGCAGTGCGACCTGTGCCAGTGACTTTGCAGTGGACAAATGAGTATCCTGTGTCTTCAGCATCGGTGTGCCTCGCCTGTGCGGTGATCCATGCCTGTCGGTCGCCCGGGATAACATGCAACTCAACATTCTGCAATATGAATCACATTCAAGATTTCATCCACAGCTTGTTCGCATTCTTCAAGAAAATGATCAGAAAAGAAGTAAAAGATGATGAATTGATCTTCTATTTTTACTAATATTTTACCAAGTAGATGGATTTTCCGTTGCCAAAAATGAAATCTACGGTGCCTTCGATGTAGCAATCCTTGAACAAGTGCTTTCCTTTGTCGTCGCAAAGGGTGTCTTGAAAACCAAGGAATTTGCAGTTGTAAAAGGAAGCCTTATCCCCTCCAATTCTCACAGCCAACGCCTGGGCTCCCTTCACGTCGCCGTTTGGCCTTGGTGCTGAGTTCTAGAGCAATTCGAAGCAACCCAAGATGTGATCGATCAGAAACAAGACCTTCAAGGAAAAAGAAACAAGAACAACGCGTGCTGGCTATATATGTAGTTCGCTTACCGCAAGAATGAGGTTAGCGGCGTTGAAGTAATCAGATTCAACAATCAAGGTGGCACTTTCCACGGTTCCATACTTGGCCGCTGTACCACCAAACACTAGAGTAGGCATATGGTTTGGATCTCCAATTATTGTGATGAATGGCTTGTTACGTTCAATCTTGATTTTCTCTGTATAGTTTCCGGGGCCAAGTGAAATGATGACGCGGTTGGTATTGTCATTTGGGATGCTATTGATGGCATCGGCTATAGTCTTGAACTCACCGCTTCCGTCGCTCTTGAGCTTGATGATTCTGGGATTGGCTTCTGCAGCGACTAGTGCCGGGTCCAAAGTGTCTTTCCGGGATGCCAAAGGTTGCACATTTTGCTCAAACCAGCTATTCAATTGAGCCTTATCAGCGGGGGCAGGTACGGTGTCATCTGAAAGAACAAGAGGAATGAAGAGAAGGGTTGAAAAAAGGATTGCTTTGTTCAAGGCCATGTCACCCATTTTGGTTTGTTTTTGACTTGCTAATTATGCTTTCTCAGCAAGTGGCGAAGGTAAATGCGAGGAAACCAGGCTGTTCTTATAGAGCGCGACGTGAAACCAGAGACACAGATGAACATGCGCCAGAGAGAAGTCATCGGGAAAGATTGTGGTTGTGTTTTTTGTGGCTTAGAATCATTTTTTGTAATGGCAAGATGGCTCCTTTTATGATTATGGAAAAATGCCAACCGTATTTTTTTGAGAAAAAAATTAATTTAGTTTCCGTTAGTTTTCTACGTATGCTGACTCCTGCGGTAAGGGGTCATCTAGCAGCCCGGGCAACATGTTCTCCCGGCCATTCCATCCTCAAGTGCATATGTTTATTATGTCTTCGACCGTATACACAAACGCTTGGGGCTGAAAATTTTCATATATTTGGATATATTTTCAAGCATGCATTTCATGTTGAAAAATTGGTATATCAAGCGCAATATTTTCTTCGCTATTCAAGTGAAATAATAACGAATGAGTGTCAAATGAATCTGGTAATATGGATTATGAAAACCAGATAGTTTCCTTGGTTGCATTTGGATTGAGAAATTTGACAAAATATTTAAAATTTTCACAAATCCCTGTAATTATTTAGATCATTTAGATAGTATTTCAATGTGTAAAACACAATTTATTATAGCGTTTAAAATATATTTTAATAATTGATGGATTATAAAACGCAACATCTTTAAAATAATCTAAACAACTAGAACGATTTGAATGGATTTTGAATACTTATAAATCTTTGTTCACTTACTGAATAGGAATTTGATTTGACCGTCGTCGGCGTTTCACATTATTCCCACCAGTACACCACACCCTTAATCCTTTCTCTTATGTCGTTGAAAGTAAGCTTAAATGTTACTACTAGTTTTCTGAAAAAACCCCACCAGTCCGCCACCTCCTTCACCTTTCCTTTCCACGAGAAAATCTCATAACTCAAAAGTTGTTCTAGTTTTCTGAAAATCAGCGCATGGGCGTCTTTTTTGGTGTTATGAATCTGCCTCAGACCCAATCGGAGATAGGACGTGCCCGTTGCAAGCCTATATGCCTTAGAGCCTTCACATTTGATTACTCCTGACTGTTGGCCGTATATAGGAGTACAGCATTTACCAGCAAGGGGGGATCTGAGAATTGCCCGCTTTTGACTTTTCTCACGCCATGGCTATTGCCCCGTAGCTAAGTTAAGTTTGGTCGTTCAATGAAGTTCAAGGAGACGTGAGAAAATTCTGTGAAACTCAAAATGCTTTAGATGCCTTCGGAGAGTGATTTTGGTAATTAATCTGGCTCAAGCCTGATCATGGCCGTTGTGCTGATTCTACCTCCCTGTCATCATAAGCATGCACATTTCTTCAATATCCTGATCCCACAAATCTGTTACATTTATTTCACTCACAGATCGGAAGGGCATTCAGATAGATTTGCTGGCTATGAAGCCCTGGTGGAGAAGAAAAGCCAGCACTCCCCGTCTCACAGTACTTGTAATGCACAATTTGTCAAAAGCTACAGATTAAACATGACCCTGATGGCATTACCACCCCAGCCCCAGGCACTGGCTTCATCAAATGCTTTCTCCACATCCTGCTGGCTAAAGCTAAATCTTTGACCCTGTATGACTGACTATCTATCAAGCGGCAAAAGCAGGTGTCTGATGTGATGATCAGAGTTGAACAAACCCTTGTCATGTCATGCAGTTGAGAGGACCAAGTCTTAAATATTATAATCCCACTACCGTTCGTTCCGGCTGTTAAAATAAGATCTGCCTGTCTAAGACATCTTAATTACGTGTACTTGCATGGCCTATTGTTGTAATTAGTGGGCCTCTTAGCGTCCTCACTCATTTGGCTGCTGGCTTAGTACCGCTGATTTGAGTGGAGGCCCATCCATTTCTAGGAGAGACTGCGCGGAGGTTCATTTCTTCGGTTTTGGCCATAGCCTATTACTTAATGTTGGTGCCAGAGAAATCATGGTTAGAATCATGTCTGATTATATCGATATGATGGATGAATTACAATGAATGAATATACGTATTCTAACAGTGCGTGCACCGTCACCATTTTAAAAATATATGATACATGTACTAAATCTAAATTTTAAATTATATGTCAAAAATCAAAATCTGACAGTATACACTGTCGTGCAGAGTGATGTATGCGTACAGAGTGCTAGTTAATCTTATTACCTTCTAGCATGTGCACTTAAATTTACAACATCGACTATTGGAGGAGAAGTCACTTGTTATTTGGTCCAGTGGTCATCACCGTCTTTGGTGACGTTGGAGGTCAGGGTTCTACCCCCGTCTCCCTCAAATTTTTCACAATATGTGGCTGGTCTTAGTTGACCATCTCCCCTTACTAGATTAGGTTAGATTAGGTTATAAGGCATTTACCGTTGCCGATAAAAAAAAAAAAAAAAAAAAAGACTATTGGAGGAGAGGAGAATACAATTGCGAGGAAGCGTATTGTTTCTCCATCGAACTGCCTGCCCCTGCTTAACCAATGATAAATTATTGATCATGTCCGGAAAGTAAATGTTTTATTTTTCAAACATAATAATAATAATGAGGGTCATTTCTATCAAATTGCGCTCTCAAACTGTTGCACACGCGGGCATGAATTTGTTAACGTGAAGATTTGATTGTCAGCATTTTCGGCTTTCGATGAATATTTAAGGTCAGGAAAACTATATATAAATAAGCAGAAGTTCATGATTAGGTATGAATTTGTCAATCTCTTTGCGGAAGAAATACGGACTTGCGATTCTTCACAAAATTTCATTATTACTTCTTATTTACTCCTCGCCTTTCCGCAGGCAATTTCTGAATTGCACGTGTGTGTGTTTTTCGGGTTTCAACATGAATGAGAATCAAATGAGCTTGTACCTGAAAGTTGGCATCCAGACTCCAGGAAAAGGCGTTCTGCGCAAAAGCTCTAGCTTGATTTTCGGGCACCAAGAGAGAGAGAGAGAGAGATTAAGACAGATATGAAGCCACCACCAGAGTCCAGACCAACAGTTTCAAGCTAAGCTACAAGGGATGAGGAATGATTGGCGGATGATAAAGCCAATAATGCTTAGAGAAAAGAAAGATCAGAATATTTTCCTTCTTTTCTTCTTCGTATAAACAAGATGTAGTGGAGTGGCTCTTTTGTCAGCAAGCACAGGAACCGAAGAAAATTTGAGCGAGCAAGCAAGCACCTGTTAGTGTTGTCCATCTCTATTTTCATATTCTGAGGAACTATCCACCACTATGCTGCATTATTATTATTGCATCGTACTTTTCTTCCTTTTTTTGATTTTATTCCGTAATGTATAAAATGGACTGAGGAATACTACTACTACTACTACTTTTTAGCTTGAATTCCACTTAATCTCCCTGTATTTATGCCTCGGTCTCAATCTGATTTATCGCTATTTTAACCATTTTATTCCTAGAGGGACAAAACTGTAACTGCACCCTTTTTTTTCTTTCTTATTTATTTATTTTTTCTTTCTAAAGCAACATATCTCTAACTACATAAAGCGCCGAAGGGTTGGCAACAGTGATTTCCACTGGTTATTTTGTAATTTGAGCGTTGATTTTATCCTCATTTGTCTTTGTAGGTGTGATGGAACTCATTGTGGGGTCATCTCTGTTTCATGCTTGTCGGCCGCAGGTTCTAAATTTTGGTCGCCTTATTCCAATTTTACCCTTTTACACTGGTTTCGTTGTTGTTTCTCTACAGATTTTGGCCTTTTTCGTCTTTTTATTGCAAATAATATTTTTAGTGGCTGGCCCGTTGCCTGCTGCATATGTCTGCCCAGATTTCTTGGACCTCCCACGGTTTTTGCGAAATCTTTTCTGGTCTGCCGCCTTATGTTGGTCCACTCTGTTTGGGTTTCGGACATAAGAAAAATACCACTATATCCATCCATATATAGCAAAAAAATATATATGATACGCAAACAAAATCAGCAACTTTGGCTGCCAAATTACTCTTCACAAGTTAAATAGTACCAGCAACAAACAATTAAAAAATTTATACAATTTACACATTACTAATCAATACTAAATATTACAAAAATCAACACAACCTAGAATAATACACCTCAAATTATACCATCATACACACTAAGAAATCCTTCAATTAATCCACTCTCACAACTTTCGCTAGCATAAAATTAATTAGAACCAATAATCAAATCACAATTAAACAAAACATAAATATACTATAAAGAATAAAATACCAAAAAAAATAAAAAGTGCAAAACCATTACTTACTGTACCAATAGAAAAACATATCAAAATCATAATCATTCAAAATAATGCAAAATATGACAAATCCATACTACATTGCAAAAATTATATTACAAATCTTTACACATGTTCCAATATAATATACATGTACATATAATTAATAAACAAATGGAAGATATTGCCTATAACATACCAGCTCTTTATGAATTTTTTGCATTACATGAACAAAATATTAGTCATTTATGGGCATTTTACTTTGAATTATTTAATTTGTGTAAAATGCATAAATGTTTGTAACTAAAATTAGAAAAGTGTTACACTAATATTTTTATGAAAGGAAAACTCATAGGTTTTGTATTTAACATAAATTAAATATGTGAAAGTAAAAAAAGAAATTGCCCATAGCATACTGGCTCTTTACTGGTTTTCTCCATTACATGAACAAAGTACTAACTATTTATGAACATTTTACTTTGAATCATTTAATTTATGTTAAAAACGTAAATGTTTGTAAGTAAAATTCAAAAAATGTTAACCTAATATACTCAATTATTAAATTAAAGCTTTTGCGTTTTAAGATCGATAATATTTGTTAACTACTCAATTATTAAATTAAAGCTTTTGTGTTTTAAGATTGAGTAGTTACTTCGATAATATTTGTTAACTGCTCAATTATTAAATTAAAGCTAATTAAAGCTTTTGCGTTTAAGATTGATAATATTTGTATGTGCATGTTCGGCAAAAT